TTGTTTTTTCATTAAAATTGTTCCTGAACAATCTGATGATTTCTTTTCTACGGTCTCATTTCTCGCTTACAGAATCAGCCTTAGAATTCATGTCCAACATCTTGTAGACTCTATAACCCTCTTAGGCTATTGTCTTTCTGACTCATCATCTCTGGTCACTGCCAAACAATGAGCCAAGGCCACAAAGTAGAAACACACACACACACACACACACACACACACACACACACACTATTTTGGCATATATCTCAGCCATTTGTTGAAAAGAAAAGGAAAAAAAAAACCATTGCCTAGTGGGAGCCTATTTGTCTGCCCACAGGACTCTTTTTGTCTAAGGATGCTTTGGGAAGAAGGATCAAGGTCTCACAGTGACAATAGTATTTATTCAGCCCAAGAAGAAATAGTTTGTTCCTGATTTAATGTATGCCTTCCCATAATGGCCCTGGCCCTGAGACCTTGAGAAAAGCATAAGATGTCAGAGGATCTAGAGCAGAGACTGGCATGAGGTTGAGAAGGCTGAGTTACCCAAGGGAAAGAGATGTTGGAGGAGGAGATAGCTGTGTACCAGGGAGGGAAGAGGAGGGCCACAGACCAATTTCTGTCCAGGATGAGCTATTGAATGAAGAAGCAGGGTGGCATGGTGGACAGAGAGGCCTGGGCCAGGAGTGAGGAGACATGGGTTCTGTCCTGGCTCCCCTTCCAGCTGACTATGTGACCTGGTGCAAATCTCTTCTTTGCGGCCTCAGTTTCCTCATCTATAAAATGAAGGGATTGGGCTAGAGTTCCCTGAGGTCCTTACACTATGAATCTCTGTGGAGTGGCTCCTGGTTACAGCTTTCTTTCCAGCTATGAAAACTAGCTTGTCAGCTTCTTTCTTTTGACACCCTCATAATTTAGAGCTTCTGGCCTCGTGCCAAATTATTTTTACTCTCTCAGACTTGGACAAGTCACTTAACCTTCTCTAGGCCTCTGCTTCCTCATCTGCAAAATGAAGGAACTGGTCTAAATTAGGAGTTCTTAACCTTTTCTGTATCATGGCAATCTGGTAAAGCTTAAAGACCCCCTCTCAGAATACTGTTTTTAAATGCATGAAACAAAATACATAGGATTACCAACAAAACTAATTATATTAAAATATAGTTTTCTCTGCTTTTGAAATCACACAAGATGGCAGAATAGGAGAAAGTAGTCCAGCCCCCAACTCCTCCCACCACTACAATGATGCCCAAGTCTTGACTAGGAAATTGAAGGACAATGGGTGATCTTTCCAGCCCAAGGTTGTAAATTCAACCTACAGGCAAGTGGCCAGGGCAGGATCTCTGGAACAGGAGTGGACTGGGATCCCAGACTCAATGCCCAGACTAAGCTAGACCAGCGGCTGGGGGTACCCAGAGCTAATCACTCAGCCACAGGCTCAAGCTCAAAAGTGAAGGGTCTCCCAGAGGGTCAGGAGCTCAAATTTCATGTCCAGAGCTCCTAGGTAGTCCTCCAGCACACAGATTCACAGAACTGACCTTAGGCTTAGCCCCAGGCCAGACCAGCTGCCACTGGAGCTTAAAATATGGACTCAGTGCCTGATGGACCCAGCCTAGGATCAGGCAGAGCAGATCACAGACTCAGTCACCACCTAGGGAAGCAGGGCAGGGGTGTTTCTCAGTGGCACCAGGACCACAAACCCAGCCCCAAAAGAACCCCAAGATAGTCCAGCAATGCTAGGTTGCCCAAAGCAGATCACTAGAAAAAAGACTAAACCAAAAAGAATATGGAGCTATTATACTAGGGGTGCCCAAGCAAACCCAGAAGAGGAGAATAATTCCAAAACACTGCCTATAAGTAAAACCTCAAAGAAAAACATAGTTTGCCCACAAGATCAGTTAGAATCCCTGGAAGAAATAAGGTAAGAATTTTAAAATAAGTATAAATGGTATTATAAATAAAATGAAAGCAAAGAAACGAAAGCTATAGAGGTGAATCTTGGAAAGAGAATGAATGTCTTGGCATAAGAGTTATAAAACTTTACCCAAGTAATAGGCTCCCTAAAAATTAGAACAGACAACAAAAAGTTAATAATTCTATGAGACAACAGGAAATGTGAAAAACGAAGTTAGAAGACTGAGAAATAGAAGAAAATGAAAGTTATCAAATATCAAAAACAACTGAACTAGCAAACAGATCAAGGAGAGATTATTAAAGAATCATCGGCCTACCTGAAAGTCAAAACAAAACAAAACAAAAAAAAGGCCTGGATATCAAGAAATCATAAATGAAAACTGCCCATATCTCTTAGAACTAAAGAGTAAAGTGAAAATAGAAAGAATCCACCAACTTGAAGGAAATCCCAAAATGAAAATTCCTGGGAATGTCATAGCCAAAATTCAGAGCTTCCAGATCAAAGAGAAAATACTTCAATCAGTCAGAAAGAAAGAGTTTAAGTACTGAGGAACCATAGGATTACAGAAGATTTGGCAGTTTACCACTGTAAAGGAGAGAGTATGGAATATAATATTCTAAAAAGCAAAAGAGAGATAAAAATAGAAGACTTCCAAATGCTGTTGATGAAATGACTTGAGCTTATTAGAAATTTTGAAGTACAAATATAAGAATAAAAAGAAACATATAAAGGTAAATACTAGTAGGTAATCAGAAAAGACTTTATAAGGATGAAGTGTTTACTTTCTAATGGAGGAGAGGGATGATACAAGTGTCCCTTCACAACTTTAATGTCAACTGGGGTCACAGAGAAATTCAAATGAGATGGAGGACCTGGTAGTGTTTTTTATATGTTTTGATTATCTTAAAAGGAAAAAGGAAAGGTGGGGCAGAGAAGGCTAGGAAAATAAAGGGAAGAAAAGTGGAGGAAAAAAATGGTTATCCCACAAAATTAGAAAGCACAAGGAAGGGATGAGGGGAGCTGACATCCTCTCATTTGAAATAGTTACAGAGTAAAGTGAGAAGAACCAGGAGAACAATTTATACCATAACAACAACATTATTGTGTGTGTGTGTGTGTGTGTGTATAAAACAACAACTTTGAAAGACTTAAAAACAATGATAAAAACAATGACCAGCCATGACTTTTGAGAACTGATGATTTAGAATGCCACCCACCCCCTAACAGAGAAGTGATGGACTAGAAATACGAGGTGAGACATGAATTTTTGGATATGGTCAAGATGGAAATGTGTGTTCATTGAAGGGTGTTTCCTTCCCCACTCTCCCCCGTGAGGAGGGTGGTGTGAGAGACAGACAGACAGACAGACAGGGAAACAGACAGACAGAGAGAGACACACAAAAAGAGACAGAGAGAGATATAGAGAGTAACAGAAGATGCTTGTTAATTGACAAAAATAAAATTTAATTAAAAATAAATTCAAAGTAAAGCAAAAGAGAAAAGTAAGCAAAATAGTATAAATATAAAAAAGTCCATAGATATCAGTTTAAGAATCTCTGGTCTATGTGATAATTCTACTCTATAGTTAAACTTTGCTGCATCTGCCAAGTGGACCCTATTTGGGGTCTGATGAGTGGTGGTAGTGATCAGAAATTCCATCCTCTTCACCTTTTCTCCAACCTTTGTGAAATTCCAGCAAAAACTGCTCTGTCATCATGTTTATCTACAGAGTGGCTACATCTGGAGTCCATCTGCTGCCCCCTCCCCACCCAGCCAGGTCGGAATCTGGCTTCAATCCTTCCTACTGACCGTACTCTTGCTAAGGCTAACAGTAGGGATCATGCAATGAGGTTAGAGCTGCTTTGAACTCTCACAGTCATACCCATCTCCAGGCCTTTTTCCTCCTGGGCCCTTCCTGAGCAAGACTGAGGGCACTGCTCATAAGAGGTTTCTAGAGCTGAAGGTGCAGCAATGACTAAGGACCCCACCCCCACCTCCTCATCTGAGGTCCACATGCCACATCCCCTGTGGGGCTGTGAGCATAGGGGCAGGACACATGGTTTAGAACTGAAGGAGACCTTACAGATCATTTAGACCAAGCCTCTCATGTGGACCAGCTGGAACTGAGTGGCTGTGAGTTCTCTTATCTTGCCTAGGGGGTGTCCTGTCAGCTGGAATGCCAAGTACTCTCTGTACTTCTTTGGCCCTATCCCTTTAGGCTGGAATTGCTGTTCAGAAGACCCCATCTCTCCCTATGCCAGGAGTCTAAAGGCTTTTCAATAGAGCAGGAGACCTGTCCTTTTCTCTTCAAAAAACATTCATAGTGATCCTGTCCCTGTGGCTTGGAGACCAGAACACAGGACATTCCATGCTAGGGACACCACATTCTTGATAAGCGGGTGAAAGAAGGTGGTTCCCTTACCCTGCCAGCCTCCCCATTGCTGTACACCTACACTCTTCCCTTTGGCTATGAAAAAGAACCCATCCTACTTTTGGCAGGGACAGGTAAGCCTCAGGTCCTCATCAAACACCTGATAATGGATGGATTCTGCCCAACTACTTGAGTAGAAGGGAATCACCTGGCCTCTCCCCTGAAGAGGACAGCAATAGAACAGAGGTAGAGACCCTAGGGTCCAGGGCTGGACCCTTGGTTTCCCCAGCCTTCTTTAGCTAGCTTCTAGCATAGGGTCATATATGTGGTGGGTGCTCATTTTATACTTCCTCGAATGAATGAATGGGTAAATGGAGTACCCAGACCTATCCTGTTTTTCAGGGACACAAAAATAGGAGGAGCTAGGAAAGAAAACAGCATGGGGTATTCTTCTCAGTCTCTTTCTTCTGCCTCCTCTCTCTACCAAAAGAACCTTCTTGCTCACCTTCTCTCCTTTTCCATCTTTTGAAATCCCAACCAAGAGGAGAAAGGGGGCAAAACATTGGCAGTACAAGGAGAAAAACCTTGCTAAATGTGGCAGTGAATGAATAAACTGACTAGTGGTTAGGCACCAAGCTGGGCCCATAAAAGGATGACTCTTTCATTTACCTCCTTCTCTACCTGATCAGGTCCAGCCCTCCCAGGATCTCTCCAGTGATCCAGTCAACCAGAAGAAAAATGTCTCTTAGTCCATTGTGGACAGGGGTGATCCTGCTTGGGACCTTAAAGAATCATTTCCAGGATTCTGCACCAACCCTGTCAAAAGTTCCTCCGCAGTCTGATTTCCAAGCAAAGAAGGTAAGTGGAGTCCACTAGAACTATAATCATGATATGAAGGAGGTGGGGTGGGATTGTATGTCAAATTCCTGTTAGAGAGCTTAAGGAGCAGGGAAAGGATAGAGGAGATAAAGATATATGAAAAGAATAAGGTGATGTGGTATAAGGAAAGAAAGCTAAACTATGAGTCAGAAGACCAAAGTTCTGGTCCAGTTATGTCTTTATCTGATGGTGCTGATATCCCAGCCCTGAGGAAGCTACTGATTGGAGGGGGGGGACTTGGTCTTCACTCTCCTGGAGCCTTTGCATGAGTATTGATTGTTCAGGGCAGGCATAGGACCCGGAAGGCCATAAGCTAGAAGAAATTCCTAACTGACCTTTTATCTACTTTGTCTATGTTTCATCCATACTTACACGTATACATCTTAGAACTTAAATTCCTGGAGGGCAGGAACCATTTCACCTTTGTCTTTGTAGCCCTAGCATGTGTAGCACAGTGCCTAGCATGTGATAGGTGCTCATTAAATGTTTGTTGATTGATTGACCTCAGAGACCATCTTTTCCAGCTCCTCATTTTTAAAGAGGAGGAAACTGAGGACCAGAAAAGCCAAGGGACTTACCCAAGATCATGCAAGTAGTAAGTTACAATGCAAAGACTCAAACCTAGGTCTTCTGATGCTCTTTCTTCTGTTCCACAGTATGCCTTTCTTGTCACTCAGGATGGCAACAATCCATAGAAATCCTGCACACAATGGTCAGGCTTAGCTCAGGAGACCGATTCTTAGGAAGCCTTCTCTGATCCCACTCAGTTAAATGTCTTCTCTCATTCTTCTTTTCTCAGGGCACTTTGTCTAGACCTCTCCTCTGCCCCTTTCATATTCTATCTTGAATTATTTTTCCTAATACTAGATTATATACTCCTTGAGACCTATGCAGGGACTATACTATTTTTCATTTTATTTCCTTCATTGTATTTTTTTTCACATATTCTTAGCTCTTAGTGCAGTGCCTTGTACATAGTAGGTACTTCATCAATGTTTGTTGAATTGCATGGAACAGTCTTAGGTGCCAAAGAGGTCTCTATGTCTGGCCTGCTGTAAAGAAGACCTCCACCTCCACCCAGCATAGAACCCAAGGAATTCCCCTTTCCAGTTTAGCCCCATTTACCCACTTACCACTAGGCCATTTCTAGGCTCTCTGTTCTCTAGGGTTGTACTGCCTCTAGGGTCCTAGAAAAGGGTTGCTAAGGCAGCATAGGAGTCATATAGAGTAAGCAATCTGCTCATGTAGACCTCCAGTCACCAGCCTTCCCTTCAGTTCCAAGGGAAATGGTACGTCATCGGCCTGGCAGGGAGAAACATCAAGACTGAAAGCCTGGCCCACAAGAAGATGTATGCTACCATATACCAGCTACAAGCAGACCACAGCTACAGAGTCATCTCCAATCTGATCAAGTGAGGATGCACTTGGGGGGAGACAAGAGGTTAGGAGGGAGGAGAAGGGTCTTTTCCCCCTTCTTTTCAAGCACCCGTGGCCCTTGGGCTCCAGGACTCCATTTTGCCCACATTGGGGCCCAGCATATACCTCACCTGGTGATTTGATAACAGACCTAAGTGTCTGCCCTGGGGTCTGGGGAACCAGAGTGTGAGACCCCACCACATATACATATACCTCATCCCATTCCTTTTTCCAGGGGTGAGTCCTGTGATATTGGATTCAGGACTTTTGTCCCAAAGGGTATACAAGGTCAATTTGCCTTGGACAACTTGAAAGGTAAGTGTGGGGACTTCTCACTCAGATGAGTTGCTCAGGTGGAGGGATCCTGCCAGAAGACTGAGAAAGTGCCCAACAGCATCTTCTGCCTTGGGTTGGGGTTGAGGATTCTAGTGTCCTCCTCCTCTGATGAAGCATTGCCAGAAGAGGTGAACTTGGGGCCTCAGATGGGGACCAGTACTCCTGAGTACAGAATCTCTAACTGCATTTCCACCCCTCCCCCACCATACCAGCCTATGGAGTTACAAAGTACGTGTTCAGAGTGGTGAAGACCAACTATGACGACTTTGCCATACTATACTTTCACAGCATCAAAAAGAGCAAGGTGAACTTCATGGCAAGCCTATATGGTACGTCTTTAGTTGCTTCTCCAATTCCTCTGCTGGTGGCCATTCCTTCCTGTACCCCAAGAGAATTCCTGTCTGGGAGGCAGGAATGAGAAAGGAGGAGAGAATCCCTGAGTCCCTGGTACTGAGCTCCCTCCCTTTCAATGAGCCTGTAGCCCCCACCAGCCAGTTGCCTCCCATTTTCAGGGGCAACCTGGTGGAAAGGTCATTGTGGAAACGTCAGTGCTTGTGGTTTCAGAAGACAAAGTCATCATGTTGCCCTTTACTAACAGTGTGACCACAGGCAAATCACATAAATTCTCAGTTTTCCCATCTGTAAAATGGGATTAATAATACACCACCTACTCATTGGGTTTTGGTGAGGAAAGTGATTTATAAACTTTAAAATGCACATACTTAGATATATATATATAGATTCACACAAATACACATTATATTATGTATATATATATACTATATTTACATGTGTATATTTTATATACATATGTATATATACATGCATATGTATGTATATCTAGCTCTTATATATGTAGATATATGTATCTATATACAGCAGCTAGGTAGTAGAGTGGATGGAGCATGGGACTTGGTCTTAGGAAGACCTGAGTTCAAATCCTACCTTAGGTATGTGCTGTGTGACATTGGACAAGTCACATAACCTCTCACAGCCTCAGTTTCCTCATTTGTAAAATAGGGATAATAATAGAACCTACCTCACAGAGTTGTAAGAATCAAATGAGATAACATATAAAATGCTTTGTAACCCTTAAAGTACTATGCAAATGCTAGCTATTATTATTGTATATGTATATATATGTATATATATACCTATATGTATATCTAGTTATGTTTACATATATATATATATATATATACGTGCACAGAGAGGGAGAGAACTATTATTATAATTCCTTAGAAGAGATAATAATAATGTGTCTCCCCCACATTTTTTACTGAGCCCCCTACTTTGACTGACCCTTTTACTTAACAGTGCCTGAAATATAGCAGGTGCTTAATTAATGCTTGTTGCTTGACCCCTCCCCCTTCTTCCACAAAGTCCTTATCCCCCTCACTGAGTTCACATCACTACATTTAAGGAGGATGCCTACCCCTGGAACTAAGCTCCCATATTGAGTGCTAGCCCCGAGTTCTAGTCATTGGCATGTCACTCACATCTTAGAATCTCAAACTCTGGCTCTTTTCCCCATGGCATCTTGCACTGTTTCTGCATTCTTCTCTCCCTGGTTGGGGAGCCAAGCACATGTGAGCAGGTCTCTTAGGACAGGGTTCAGCCAGAGCTCAAGACAGAGCTGAAGGTTTCAGGTGAGTGTTGAGGAGAGGAATAGGTCCAGGAGTTGGACTCCCCAGAGAAAACCTCGGGGACTGACGCTTTGTTGCCCCCTTGGCTACAGGGAGAACAAAAGAGCTCAAGTCTCAGCCAAAGAAAAAGTTCATTGAATTTGCCCAATCATTAGGCCTCACTGGTGAATTCCTTCTCTTCCTTCCCAAAGAGGGTAAGGCCTAGGATGGTGTGTATGTGTGTGGGCATGGGAGGAAGTATGTCTTTGGAGGCCAGGGAGCTGTCCCTACCTTCCACTGACAACTTCTATTTCTCTCTTCCTCCCCAAACTTCACCTGCCCCAGAGAAGTGTATCAATGATGAGACTTGAGTATGATGTGAGTATGAGCCTCCCGCCCTAGGACCTAGGGGAACACTGAGGGGAAGGCTATTTCCTAGAGGCCTTGGGCTGATCTGGACACAGAGATAATGGGAGATCCATGCACCTGCCTCTGTCTTCCCAGGGAGGAGAATCCTAGTATCTGTCTCCTTGTCCTCTTCCCTTTGCTTTCTTCTCTCTCCCTTTTCCTCTCTTCTCTATTCTGCAATTGTATTTCTTCCTACTTTTCACCTTCTCCCTTTGAAAGTCTTTCTTTTTCTTCTTCTCTGTTTCTCTCTATATCTCTGATGTGTACAAGTACAAGTTATTCCTTGTCTATTCTCTGTATTTGTATTTGCTGATTCTCCCTTGCTGTCTCATCATCCTATCACTGTCCTCAGCTTTATCCTCATTCTCTCTCTTTTTCCTTCTCCCCATTCCCTCTACTCCTGTATTTTTATCTTTGTGACTCTCTCTCTGTTCTCTTCTCCTTCTTCCTGTCTCTTTCTTTCTGCCTCTGTTTCTAGTTCTCTCTCCACCCCCCATCTCTTATTTGTCTGTCTATCTTTTTCCTTGTCTCAATCTCTTTCTGTTCCTCTGTCACCTGTGAACCATGCCAAACCAGCACCCAGACCCACCCCAAGCCCTGCCCCTACCTCCTAGATCTCACTCTCCCATTCCTGGCTCCTTCTCTAGATATCCCAAGTTCCACAGATTACAGCCCATCTTGGCTCCCTCTACTAGGCCCACCTCCATCTTTGCCCATCGACTGCTAAAGAATTGGAGACACCTGGTCCCTGCTCTTATCTGTTTCTCAGTATGGCCATCCTGGTCTCATCCAACCTCTTACCACGGGGGCTGGTTAACCTTGGGATCCCCCTTCAGGGGACAATAAATGCAGAATATCAAGAACTTGAGTCTGAATTTCTTAAGGGGCGGGGAAGAGAAAATGGGACCCTGTTTTAGCTAAAAGGACAGTTGATTGTTCATCTTGTGCCAATGGCACCTCTGTGTGATGAATTCCCCTGGGGTCCAGGTTCTCATACTCAAATTTTACAGGTTCAGAAATTCAATTTCTTCAGTTCCCTCAGGAATTATAATGCTCCAAGGAAATGAGTGGCCACAGTAAAATTCACAAGAGATTGATTTGTAAACCAGATATCCCTTTATTAATTTATAATAAGAGATACATCTGAAAAGGGAAGCAGGGCTAGGTGTGTGGCTGCCCCAGAGGCCCTTTCTCTTGGCGAGTAAATTTGCTCATGAGAAAAGACTATAGATCATCAACTCTAGGGCTGGAAAACAACTCAGATCTTCTAATCATTGAAGAGATAGTTGTTGAACATCTAGATAGAGAAGTGGTGATTATAAGAGTCAGGATGACTTCATCAAGAACAGATTAACCTTTTTGTGTTTTTTTGGGAAAGGATTACTAAACCACTCAAGGAGGGGAATACTGTGGATATAATTTACCTAGATTTTAGCAAAGCTTTTGATAAAATATCTCATACTATTCTCGTGGAGAAAATACAGTGATATAGATAGAAAATTGTACAATAAAATAGATTTAGAATTTACTGGCTGGACAGATTCAAAGAGCCATTGTTTATGGATTAATGTTAATGCTGTAGGAGGTCTCCCATGCAGTGCCCCAGGGAATTTGTGCTTGGCCCTGTGCTGTTCAACATTGTTATCAATGACTTACATAAAGGAATAGATGGCATGCTTATCAAATTTGCAGATGACACAAAATTGGAAGGGACAGGTGATGTACTGGATGACAAAGTTGGAATCCAAAAAGATAAGCAAGAGTACTGGGCTGAATCCAGGAAGATGGAATTCAATGGGGGCTAAGTGCAAAGTCTTAGACTTGAGTCCAAAAAATCAACTTCACAGGTGTAAGATGGGAGAAGTGTAGTTAGAAAGCAATTATTCTGATAAAAATGTGGCAGTTTTAGTGGACTGCAAGCTCTGTGTGAGTCACTAGTTTGATATAGCAGCCCTAAAAATGCTAACTTAATCTTGAGTTGCATTAAAGGCATATCTTCTGGGAATAGGGAGATGATATCGTAGTACTCTGTCTTTGTCTCATCTCATAAAGAGTATTGTGTTCAGTTCTAGGCAACACATTGTAAGAAGGGCATTGATAAGCTGAAAAGTGTCTAGAGGAGGGCAGCCAGGATGGTCAAGCGCCCTGACTTCACAACACAAGAGGATCATTTGAAGAAACTGGGGCTGTTTAACCTGGAAAAGAAAAGACCAAGGACACATAATAGTTGCACTGAAGTATTTAAAAATGTTCCATCTGTTCTGCTTGGTTATACCCCCCTCCCCCAAGCAGGGCCAGAATCTGAACCTAGGTCTTCTGAATCTACACTCAGCTCTTTTCCCATTGTGTACCAGGCCAATGGTGAACACCAACCAAATAAATCAAAGGACGTTTTATGTTACAATAGTCTATTTCCATAAAATTGTGGTAGACCAATGAATTAATTTCCTGCTTAGTAATCTAGGGAGTGTTTCTGTCTAAAATACAGGGACCAGCCATTAGATTCAAACTGGTTTCTCCCCTGAACAACAATGTTGGACAAACACACACTGACTCATTTTGCAACTGAATGCTTCTTTCTCAATATTTGCCATCAAGCATTAACACTCCTGTCATTACAGTATGTCCTCATCAGACATGTTACAATTTGCAAGATTGCAGTTGCTATTACATTAGTTATATTTGAAAATGTTGCCTTCCTTTTTAGCCTCCCTAAGGGCATGGAAACCGTAGTTCCCTTCAGATTAGGGTCTCTTCAAGGACACAAAGAAGAAATTTGGATAGAAAGTTTCTAAACTGATGGTTTTAGTCTTAGATTCTGTCAGCTGCCCCAAGGTTTGCAGAAGGGGAGAACTGATAATAATAGGTAACATTTATATAGTGTTAACTATCTGCCAGGCATTGTATTAAGCACTTTACAATTATTATCTCATTTGATTCCCACAACAAACCTGGGAAGTAGGTGTTATTATTAT